TTTTTTTAAATGTAGCACATTTCTTAGAACCCTATCTGCAGTAATATTTTGATGATTTACTTTTGCTTTAGCCAGGTAGTTAGGGACTCTACCCTACTTCAGACCAATCTAAAATTTTACAGTGAGATTTTTCAGGCCATAGAAGTAGTGTAAACCTAAGTAGTCCAAACCTCATTGTCTAATGCTATGTAACATATTATCTCAAAATTTAGTGGCTTAAAACAATAATCATACTTTCTTATGACTTCAGAGTATGATTGTCTCTGCCTCCATATGTTTAGTACCTCAGTTAGAGGACCCAAAGCCTAGGGACTAAATCACCTGAAGACTCATTTGCTTACACATCTGGCTGTCAGCTAGAGGTGCCAGTCAGAACATCCTCATAAGGTGCATCCTTGTGGCTTGGACTTCCTTATAGCCTGGTGGCTGGGTTCCTGGGCAGGTGTCCTGAGAGAGAACCTCTGCTGGGAGGAGCCATATTTCCCCTTATGACATGACTTGGAAATCATGCAGTATCACTTCTGCTGTATTTTCCTTGTCCAGGCAGTCACAGGTCACATCCAGGTTCAAGGACAGACACGGACTCTACACACTGATGAGGAGTGCCAAAGTTCTAGAAGTACATGTAGGACTAGAAATAATGCTATACCTGCTTTTGGAAAATACAGTCTTTCAGGCCAAGTACAGAAAGTGTGTGGCTAACTGTTCTTAGGGGAGTGACATTTTTCATAATTTCCCTTCTACTAGAACCAAGTCAGAGCCCCACCATCTCTGTTTAGAGTGGATTTCTTCCTAGTTCATCCACTGAGGACATTGCCTTTTGCTGGTCTTGTCTTTTTATGGACGTCTCCTTATTTGTACCCAAGCCTATCTTCTGCTCCTCTGAAGTCTCTCAAGTCAGGACTTTAGCCCACCAAGGATATGCAGATCCTTTTGGGGTACCCTGGGCTCAGCCCCATAATGCTTCTCAAGAGTTATGCTTCCCTAGTGTTTTTGTCCTTCAAAGACAGCCCTACTTTCCTGACAGTTCAGGCATACATTCTAGAACATCTTTGCCTTTTATCTCACATGTTCAGGTATCCCAAGTTAAGAGAGTTTCTCCAGATATGATTTACCATATTTCCTAAAACAAAACTTATCAGTTTTTAATACTGCTTTTTAATCATTAATAATTCTTTTTTTTTTTTTTTTTT